TGATTTGAGACAACAGAAGATTGGGGGGGTTAAAAAGTCACGACTCTCATGTTTTGATATAGCCATTGCTTCTATTAACATGAAAAATACTCTTCCCAAAAGAAGTATCAACTATGCTGACTAATTTGTATTTTATTTTAGAAAATTGTGTTAAAATGTTGTAAATGTGAGTGATCTTGACAAAATTCAAAGCTAAGTATCATCACTTAATGTCATCTAGAAATGATTTTTTTTGCCTTCTTTCTTCACTATCATGGTCCATTTAATTATGCACCTTGTTGAAGAAGTCAAGCTTGAAAGTCTTGTGCCATATCGATAGATGTATCCTATAGAGAGATGAGTGGAAAAATATATATTTTTGGATATCTAAAAAAATATGTTTCTCTTCACAATACAAACTATATATTTATTAAAGCTATAAATTGTTTGTAGGTTATTGGAAAAATTAAAATCATATGTTCAAAATAACGTTTGGTCAAAGGTTCAATTGTAGAAGGTAATATGGGTGAAGAAATATTATTATTTGTTCTAGATGTTTGAGGGAGTTGAGATAGTTTTCAATCGCACTTATCGAGTCGATGATAAACATGTTGTCAGTTCTTCTGCACCTACTATATTCCCTCAAGTTGGAAAATATGTGGTGGATTTAAATATTTTACTCTCACTCCCAAAGAGAGATTTCAACTTTCTTCTTCTTCTTCTTCTTCTTTTTTTGTTTAGTGGTTGGGAAATCTTATATATTAATAAGATATTTAAAATATTGATTAAAAATATTTTATAAGTAGAAATAGAAATATATACATCAACCAGTAACAAAAATAATTTAAATAATTTGTAACAATAATTTGATTAGAACATAATTAAAATTTAATTATCAAAAAAATTTAAAATTAAAATTTATGAAATATTTTTTCCAAAATATTGCAAAAAAAATAATAATATAATACGATAATTTATAGTATTTAAATAGCTCAAAAGCTTGTGAGAATATTTAAATTCCAAAAAAAATTATTCAAATTTTATTTAATGAAATAAGTCAGTAGCCACATTTTTTTGAAAAACGTGACTTTAATATAATAATATGTAATATTTAAATTTTGAAAAATTTTAAAATATATAAATTGCTACGAAAAATGTTGCCAACTTTTTTAATAAAAAGTAAGTAGTCACATTTTTTTTTTTGACAATACGTCTGTTGGCAATAGTTACAATTTTTTTCAAAGAGCATGGCTTTTAGCCATGTTTTTTTTTAAACCGTGACTAGATTCTTGCCACAATTAAAATAGCCATACTTTTATTTTTTTCAATGTTGGTATGAAGCTTTGTCATGTTTTTAATTATGGCTAAATATTAGCTTAGTTGTATAGGTTTCATAGATAACCGATCATGCTGGACGTAGAACCGGACATGGACACAATGATTGTCAAAGTTGAGAAAGGAATTTACACAGTACATAAATTTAAAATCTGTGATACTATTTACATAATAATTTAGGAGGTATGTTACTCTTTATCTTTTATATATTTATTATCATAACTAGAAACTTACATTTAAAAAGGAAATAAGGAGAATGACGATAAGGTCCTAACATTTAACATTTATGATAGTTAAGACAAAATTTTTTAAAAAAATTAACTACAAATATTGATTCAAATAGTTATAAACAAAAATCTGAACTGTATATATAAGAGTTATATTTAAAAATTTAAATATTTTTATTTATAATTAAAACTCCTAAAATCAATATTTGTAACTTTTTTCAAAAAATTTTAATAGGAATACAAATATCATAAATTTATTATTTTTGGACTTTAATATTATTCTCTCAAGTAAATATTAGATTCAAGGCTGAATCAATATTTATAACTTTTTTTCAAAAAATTTTAATAGGAATCCAAATATCATAAATTTATTATTTTTGGACTTTAATATTATTCTCTCAAGTAAATATTAGATTCAAGGCTTACTACAATATTTAGGTGTTTATTAATTTAAACAATGCTGAAAATTATATGACATCCTATGGATGCTATATGTGATGTTATAATTAAAAAAAAAACATACTTCATTTTAACTCCAAGCACATTTCATCATTATTTAGCAATATTTGGCAAATAGAAATTGGGTTAAGTGGAAAAATACCTGTAAAATATTTTTTAAAGAGTTACTAGCATCCTAGATTCAAGTATATGGTAAAATTTTGCCCATCAACTCTAAAGCTGCAAAAGTCTCAAATTCGTAAGAGAAACCTAACATTCATTATGTAAATGTTGTGAGTCCCACATTTTATGCTATTAAACCTTGATTTTGATTATTATAACATAAAGAAGATTTTGTTTAATAGAAAGATTTAATAGCATTTAAAGAAATTAAGGAGTAACTAGACTTATATGTATTAATCTCTTACTCCTATTCCTTCCAAGCCTTCATACCATATTATTTTACTTATAATGGAATTAAATATGAACTCTCTTAAATTCTAAAACCTAGATTTCCTCTGTTTTTCTATGGGAGAAGTATTAACTTTGTCCAAAATATTTTAAGGCTTATTTAGTTTCAAACCTTTGTTCTTTGAGAAGTATTTTAGTTAGTTTTAATATCTCATTCGCAATTTGTTTTGGAACTTCGAAACTTTTCTATACTTAGAAAATTTTTGCTCTCTATACCGGTACTAACCTTGTCTATTTCTGTATTGTGCTCTCTATACCCATACTAATGGTTTCTATACCAGTATCAGGGCCTTTATTCCCTTAGTTATCTTTTTATACAGGGATTGTTCCTTGTTCCATGTTGTTTCTTATATGGGTACTAAGCTTTCTTATATGGGTATAAATCTATATATATATATATACTATTTTTTATTTTACACTATCCTTATTATTGTGTTATTCATTTATACCCATACTAGACTTAGCAGTTATTCTTAAAATATTCATTGTCTATACCAACATTGTGGTTTCCTATACTAGCGCTAATATGAAGATTTGTACTCTATTCAATGTTCCAAAATTTGTGAACTTCAAGTCTAATTTGTTTTTCATTCTTTTCAGTTTTTGAGTGTTGTATTAGCATTATTACCTATCTAAATACTTGTAAACACAACCTTGAGTACAATTAAACACTTATCAATTCTTATAATTTTCTTTATACTCATATTACATTCGGCTCTACTAGTATTGACTTATCTACCTTTTGTTGGAGCATTAAATGCATATAGCTATTACTTTTCTTATTTGCCGTGGCTCGTGAGCACACAACTTCGCCAAAAAGCATTATGTCATTGCTTTATTTCTAGAGAAGCTTGGAGGAAAATTAAAGATGAGTCTAATAGCTAATTAAAGATGTGTAACAGATAATTGTTTCCAATTATAAAAAGACACTTTTATGAAGACAAAAATATAAGAGTTATTACATACCAACCTTCTGTTGTTATATTCATTGCTATTGAACTTCATTAATTGTATATTCACTCTTAAAGAGAGTTTTTAATATGAGTTGTTCATTCTTGAACATGTTCTGTTTATTTTTATTCTTCATACTCAAAATAGAGTAAAAGAGCTTAAGGGAATTATCACGTTACTTTTGTAAGGGAGAGTGATTCAAATTTAAAATCTAAAATTGTATTGAGGTAAACAAAAGTCTGGATTAATCTTGATAGAGTAAGTGGATAAAATCTCAAGTATAATTTAGAGACTAAATGTAAATTCAAGTAGTTAAAATTAAACGAGGGTAAATACGTTTGCAAGCTTTTCTTCCCTTTACTCAATATTCTTTGATGATATCGTTCTTAATTATATATTTTACTCCTACATTATTTGTCAAATTTTTATTAAGCTCAATTCACTTCCTTCTTGGACAATTTTACATATTCTACATGTAAATATGTTAGGGGAAAAATATTCATGAAATAGTACACTGCAATGCAATTTTGCTTTATCAATCCCAAAAATAAAGCAAAAATCCTCCATTCGTAACAAATGTACTCATTAGCATATGTTGACTATGAATGTTAGAGATATTGAAATTTTATTTGACATGAACTACATGCATAGAAATATATATATATATATATATATATTCAAATTTGTTTTGAATTGGATGAAATTAACCGTATGCACGATATTGTACTTTGTCATATATCAGTCACATAAAACACTTTTTGATCCAAAATCCATTTGGAAGCTATCCCAACTTCTGACGTTCTTTTCTTCACTACCTTAGTTCAAACTCCCTTCCCTGTCCTTGTGACGGTAAAGTTCGATAAAATAAAGTATTCTACTTATGGCTTGTGTTAGTTAAGATAAATTTGAACAAGTGTTTCTTTAATGACACTCTGAGTCAAATATAAAATCAATTTCTTTGACATTCATGGTCAATGGTAGCTAACATGTCTTTGTTTTAGATTGAGAATTTTTGCAAAATTTTCAAGATTTGAGCCAAATTGCACCATAATACAGTATAGATATTTTTGCTTCTAATCCATTTAGATATGACAAACATGTGAAACCCACTACCCTTGCTTAACAGGCATTTAACTTTCATTACAAATTAAAAAATTTTGCACTTCTTCTTATAGTTAATGGGGTACAATTACATTACACTTGAATTAAAGATACCCACAGCTCAATAAAATACTTTTGAGGATACTTACACCTTAACCCCAAAAAAAAAAAAAATTGTTTAGAAAGCCTTGCCCTAAATCATGATTTCGACGAAAAACACAAGCTACCCCATCGCCATTGCGATCAACAGTCACAAACCTAGATTGACCCGCCACCCCAAACACTCATAATCACACATTTCTAACGCGTCACACAATGATTATTTGATTATAGCACAGCCCATAGATGCACCATAAGAACTACTCAAAACACAATAACACTGAACTGGTATTAATTGGGACTAACTACCAAATGTACTGCAATTAAAACTGAAAAGAAAAGAAGATATCTGGACATGGATATAAAATTCAAAAGCTTTTTACAGCGACCACCAGCAAACAAACAGGAATCCAAGATAAATTACTTTATTGCAAAACTCCTAGATAACAGCATATGCCCATTACAATGGGATTGTGACATGTTTATTCCAGCAAGCACCTAAAAAGCAGATTCAGCATAAAACCAAAATGGAGGGAAAACCTCCAAAACAGTTCGTTAAAACTTAAAACCAGAGGTTACAAGTCTGTACTCTATTCATATTGGTATGGTGAATAAACGCGTCTGTAACAGTTCAACGGCCACTTTACCTTCCGTTGCTTTTCCAAAAGTCACCAATAAGTACCAGACCAGCTAATGATTTTAGTTTAATCCTACTAAAACAGTAAAATAAGACTTCTCTACAAAAATCACTGCCCACTCGTTTTTCCTATGACCTTATTGGGCAGAACTTTAATAGGAAACTCTGAGCAACCGCACCAATTGGTGAAGACATTCCACCCAGAGTAAGGTCCATTGGTTTACATGGATATATAGGTATGATCAACTCAAACGAAAAACAGGTTTATGAAGCACGGGAACGTGTGTGTTGTGATACTGCCTCAGTTGCGCTACGCGTTCTTGTAAGTAATGGATAGATGCTTGAAAATCCTCGCCCAAACAAGCCAGTACTTGATGGGGCTTTGTCCTCTTTAGGCGGTATCCCGTTAGAAGCCACAGGACTGCTAGGGGAATTGATCGCGTCTGAAATTCCATTGCTCTCCTGAAAGGAAGATTCACAGATGAAATGTTACAAAAATTTGAAAGGAAAGAATGACACTTAAAAGAGACACTTCCAGGACGGCATTAAGGGAAGAGAATGTCTAATTATTTCCAGAAAGACACTTAAGACCAAGTCCACAAGTGGTATGAAAGAGCTGTGAATCTAGCGAAAACAAGTGTGGTGAACTAAACGTGGGCTGGGAAGTTCGTAAGGAAGAATTATCCAACAATAATGAACACGAACAGTTCCAAAACACAGCCAAGTCCAGTCAAATCAAAAGGCTCACAAACCTGGTAGTGTCCAGGTGAATATGAGGGAGATGCTGGAGCGGTTGGCAAATTTGGAGGCAAGGATCCCGTCTGTTAAAGCATATAGTTCTTTGTAAAAGGGTAAAACCAATTAACTAATAACCAGCTAATAAAAGCAGATAATGGAATTGATCCCAAAAAAAAAAAAGCAGATAATGGAATAAATCCTTATTTATGGCAATAAACAACGAATAACCACAAATTTACTCATAATTTGAACAATAATTGTGGGGGAATAAAAAAGGAAAAGGGGGGAGAGAAATGGGGGGACGGTTAGCACATATGCTCTACTCAACAAGGGCATTGATGTTGCTGAGCAAGTCAGGATACCCAAAAGAATAGATATAAAATAAAGTAGGGAAAAACAAATTTCTTTTCCCGGTTCCTGCCCAATAGGATTTGATTCAGCTCTAGCTTTCAGATTTGTGATTGTACACAGCTGTACGAATATAAACTATAGTTCCTAGATATCTTTTGCAGATCAACATCTAGAATTACAATAAAAATTTTACCCTTGATGAGGGTGTGACGGATAGTTGCTCTAAAGACAGCCCTGAAGAACTCGATGGTAATGCCTGTAAAAATCAGGTAACAGAAGTTCTTTTAAAAGAACGCCTTATATAGTTATATTAAGCAAACTTAATGCAATGAACACGTTCTTTAGCTGGCACGCAGTGCCATTAATTTCAGCAAAACTTGCAAGCAAAGAACCAAATACTATTACAAACTTCCCAACAGAATTTTATTAAGTCCATGAATGCAAATATGCAATAATTAATCAGCCTGGGAAACAAAATCCTTACCCTGGTGCTGGGTGAAACTGGGGGTAAATCAAGAGCTGGCCTGGAAGAACTGGAGCAAGATGCCTATTGTAATTAAAACTTCATATATTAGTATCATAAAGAAGTGTAAAGTTCAATTTTTGAGGCCAAGCCAAGTAAAGATAATCCATTCATCAAGATCATTCAACCCATGCCTGAATGCGCTCTGTGGGTCTGCCATTCTCCAAGTTTATGGCAAATTGACACAATTCAGTTACTCTGTCGGTTGTAGATGCCTAAGAAGATAGATAAAAATTACTGAATCGTCAATATTAAGTAAAAGCATTCCAATTAAATACAAACAAGAGAAACTTCACCTAATAATTTGCAAAATTTATGTGTAGTGTAATAATATAATAATACCTGCTTCCCTTCTATTTCTTTTATTTTAGATTCCTGAGAAGCAAAAGAAGAAATTAGACAATTACACAGCCAGCAAGAACCTAAAAATAATGGATTGTTGCAATTGAATCACCAGAACACGGACTGCAACGCGAACATGTGAAAAATCCCCGCACATTGTATCTGTTTCCCTTTGTATTTCAGAGATCTACAATAAAATATACTTGATTAACAATTATCAATAAGCTAAAACCATAACTTCCAAATTCTTTACTTACCTCCACCCTTGTATTTTCAGTTAGAGCAGCACATTCATCTAGACTGCTATCCAGGCGGTTTATTCTTGCAGATAACTTCTTCTTGGCCTCCTGAAACAATTTCAAATATGTGAATAGCCATCCTCAATTATTCCAAAGAATATCATCAAAAATTTTTCAATTGTCCAATACAGAACAAGTTAGACGGTATCTTCTAATTTCAGGGCATAAACACTCACTTTAAAAGCTCATTTATGCATAAAAGTGCAACATTGTTGCCTATATTTCGTCTAATTCTCCATGACATGATTTGAAATATAGCAATGCTTCAGATTCAATAATGAATCATTCTAGCAAACCCTATCATCACAATAAAATAGATGAATGCAACTATGCAATTATGCCCTAACACTATCAAAGGAAATATTCAAGCGAACGTTACTCCAATATCTATATATATATATATATATACATATTCAAGTAACCAAGATCAAGGCTTCACAAAAAAATGAGGTGCCGATTTTGTAATGCTATTATTAAAATTAAAATATTAAGTTAAAGTATTACAATTAACTTGTAATGTGCAAGGACTAAGAGTCAATTACAAATCTAACAACTATTGTCTCTTCTGTCAAATTTTATTTTTGCCAGCCATGCTTCTGCCATCTTTACCCATGACAAAATTTTAATAGTCTTTGAAGAATGTCTCACCAACTAGATTTTATTTCCACATGGATTTGTTACAAGTAACTTAACAGCGTGCCATTAGTTATTATATCCAGAGAAGCATATGCTTCCCATAAACCCCCCCCCCCTGAATGTGGCCATCTATAGCTCATAGAAAGTTGTCATTTAATTTCATTGCCAGTAGAAAGTAATCATTTAATCTCACCACCGAAAGAAAATAATAGTTTTGCAACAATCTAAGAGGGGCAACCAACAGAATAAAAAGGCTCACCTCAATGGATTCATAAAGCTTGCCCAGCTGATTACCTATACTTGAGCATGCATCAAATAAACTACGCCTTGTTGCAAACATTAGATCAGGAAGTTTCCATCCCTGAAAATGCAACGGTCATATAACTCAACCAGCTAGAAGGTGCAAACATTATAAAATCCACTGGGAAAAACTGTGTAATAGGATTCCAGATTGAAAGGTAGTTTCACACATTTAAGCCATTACAAATATCCAACGGTTTTATCATCCAAATTTAGTACATAACGCATCAATTCAATCTCATCAGTTACACATTATGTTAACATATTTGGCAAAAACATAACTAGAGCTCAAGATGAAACAATAAAGCCTACTATAATTGCAATTGTGCTATTTAAATTTTATATCAGACTGTTCCAACCATTTAGGGAGCAATCACAAAAACCCATAGTCAGCAAAAACTTTCGCTTGAACAAATCTCAATAACATTAAAAAAGAAAGTTGCTAAAAAATCTACGGATTAGTAAAAGTTCAACCACCTTACATCATCTATAGAAACTACAGAGCCATAGCACAAACAATTTGGTTGTTAGCTAAATTGATAATTCTCCCAACCAAAAGGGGGAAAACAGATATTACCTTCCACCAAATGTAGCCATATCCCACCACAACAATAATAATTACTGTACCATATTTTCCTGCACCTGAGCATTTCAAAAGCTAGTCAGCAGATACTGCAAACTATAAAAACCACAAAAAGAACAGAAAAATTAAAATATTGTTTCAGGATAGCATAGACCCTGTAATTAAAACTATTAATTCCAAATGTTTCAAAGATAATGCAATGGAATAGACTGAACTAATAACAATTAAACCACAAAAAAAAAAAAAAATAAAGCATCCATTAACACGTGAAAGAAAATAACCAGAACCTGATCTACTCGCATTTACAATTGTGATTGTTCTATCTCTAGCAAGAAGTTGTAGTTCCTGACGAAGGCTGTTAACCTGCATATTGAAAGTTTCATCAGCATTTTCAATATTTTACAAGCTTCCATGAAAAAAGTATGACTTCGGCATTGTACAGGCATTAGCAGGCACTCATATAACTATGTATTTATCAAATCAATATTTGTTTTTAAGTCCCAAATATTTGACATAACACTTCTAACACTTTCAGAAAACAAAAATGTTATCCTTTTAAAGAATGAATAGAAAGTGAGGATAAATACTTCACTAATAGTGCCAAAACTGTATACAAATTTAAATATTGCCAAATCACCAAGCATATTCTTCAAAATTTTAAAATTTTCAATAGGATGTTGTTATATACATCCACTTAGCATAAGTTTTGCAATGTCATATGTGGCTGTATGCTATATAGGAGAGCACATAACCTGATAGGCCTGAGGAACCAGGCCCAGCCCAACATCAATTAGGCTAGTAAATAAGGCTAGTTGGGTTATAAGTTGAACCCAGACCAGCTCGTATAATTAAAATAAATATATTAAAACCTTTTTAGGTTAATACTTAATACACAGTAATAAGTTGTTCAATGGTGTCCCTTTCTCTTTTCAAAATATTCAATGGCATCTCTTTATCCCCTCGAGAATGTTCAATAGCATCTCTTTCTCATCTTCTCCAAAATTTTCTTCCTTCTCTCAATGTTCAACGGCCTTCACATAGCACCATCTTCCTCCTTCTCCAATGGCCGCATATGGCCTCATCTACTGGTGCAATGACTGTCACACAGGGAATGACATTTCACAGAATGGATCTTCTTCTCCAGAATCTTCTCCCTTCTCCCAGATCTGTCCTATAGTACATTATTATATTCTGATTATTTTTGCATGATTTTCTATATTTTTTCGATTTTGTGATATGATTTTTTTTCTATTTTGATTTTTTTTTCGATATGTTTGTGATATGATTCTTCAATTCTGATGGTTTTAGTTGATACTGGATCTTGGGTTCCATCAGATTCTCCTATAATTTTTGTATTCTTAGAAGTCCCTTACTGTTCACCAACACCAATGAAGAAACTCAGCAAGCTGTTGGTGTCAAAAGGTTGGTTGACCTGAGACAAAACCAGCCAGAAATCACCAAGCCAGTTCACGCACTAGATCAATCCCCAGCCTGCTCCTTCCCATACACCATCCTAATTGCGTTTTACAAAAAAAAACTATACAAGACAGTGCTAACCAGCAAGTTCTTTTGACCTGCTTGAAACATGATGGTGAAGATTCTGAATGCAGAACAAGGAATTAACTTATACATGATTGCAAATAGAAAAAAGGTTGAGAAGATAAGTTGATTATTAAACAAAAATACTTATTTTTAAGTTTTAATGTATTATTGCCATTATGCTTTTACCAAATTGCGAGTGTAGCACAATTGGCTCTTACGCATGCTGTTTTTGGGCACTAAACATCAAATTGTTGTTTATACATATAAGTAAATGTGAAAAAAAAAAAGAATTTAAAATTATGAAAGATCCACTTGCATTTTGTTTTTTTCACTATGAAACCATAAGTATAGAATTCTCCTGATTACAGGCATCAACAAAGATTTATGTCCCCCAAAACTGGACTACCAGATGGCCATGTTGACACCATCGTAATCATCCTGACAGTTCATATGTACTGTATAACATCAAATAGTCAAAACTCGTGTAATTTACTCCCAACATAAGGGGTTGTATGAGAGCCAACAATTTATCCAATGTAAAATAATAAGATCTAAAAACGTATCAAAGTAGCAACGCAATGATTGACACCAAAATACAAACCTGAGCCATCAAAGCATCATTTGGTGGCTTTTTAGCAGCTGGAGCAGACTCATTACTTCTATTTTGCTTCAAAAAAATCTGTGCTCCACAAAAATGACATTCTAGAATAAGCACATTATACATGTCATGAAGACAAATACATCTAGGCATCATAATTTTATGTGATTTGGACCCACCCACCAAAATATAGTAGCAACTAGAATGATAAAAAAGTTTCATATTTCAAGGCACAATATAATTATATGAAATAAGTAATTATACTTCTAGTCTTCTAAAGACCATGAAGTCAAAATCAGTAGCCAAAAGTCATTGTCATTGGTTCAATGTGAAAGGTTTGGTTAGCATGTTATGTAATCTAAAAACAAGTATGGTAATTAACACCTCTGTAACAGGCCACAGTATTGAAACTTTGACTTTAATGAATAGAGATTTGTTTATAACTCTGCTGCTGCAGGGGTTTAAAGCCATTAACTAGTGCTAAACCTCAGATGCTTTTGTCAGGTTTACCATTAGAGCTACCACTAGTCTACTGAAAAGCACAAACAATGATTTGCATTCAGATTTATTTCAAAGAGACTAATACTTCAAAACATTCTAGTTTCAGCTTTTTAAAACCTCAACTTTTGTACTAACGTTCAAATGGTCTCACATGTAGGCAATTCAAGATAATATACAGGAAAGAAAAACCCCAATAAGATATAAAGAGAAACTTCATTAGCATGGTGTGCAACCAAAAACAATTTTATTATTGCATCTGTACAATTTTACATCTTTCATTAGACGTAATGAATATACGTCTGGCTATGCATATTGCCTGGCTTTCAGAATAAAATGTCGATGCAAATTTACCTTGAAAGCACCTGAGACAAGACCAGAGACATCCGGGATTCGCCCTTCTTTGGCAAGTACTGAACCAACAATACCTAAAAAGGATTTCAATTGGTTAGTCAAGCTTTTACAAAAAGGATAAAGCACACTACGTTAAGATGTGTATTTGATCATTACAGCATAAATGAGGTTCAAACAATTGAACCAAGACATACATAATAAAGTTCTTTAAATGAACTCACGCATTTACAAAATAATTTGGTATGTATTGCGATACTTAAAGAATGTCAGGAATTTCGAGAAAAGTCTCGTGTAAAGTTTCATAAAGTAGTTTTATAACTTGAAATTTTCATCAGTCTCCAATGCCACTTCAAAGAAATCAACAAAACACTAACAAAGCTACTCTTTAAAGTCAACACTATCATGAAAGTAGAATCAAAAATTCAACTAGTTAAACTTAAACGGAGACGGTGCTTTCAATTAATCCCTCAGCTCAGAAAAATTTCACAGCCACAAGCTCCGTCATTGGTCGCAGGATACCAATAACCGACTTTCAAGAACCCTCCAACCAAAATAATTAGCAGCAAAACATTCCGGTTTGATCGACAAACCATAAATCGGGAAAGATTCAAAATAAAAAAGAATCGGAAGTAAAACAGAAACAGACAACGGAGAAAGAAAATCGAGCAAACCTGCACCGACGAGAATGGTGAGCTTCCCGATTGGAAGAGCCATGGCGGCCAGTGAGGTAATATTTGTTGTTCGGCCCTAATCAACCAGTGAGCTGGGTTACGAAACGAAGCATTGAACCCAAAACAAAGCGTCGAAGCTCTCTCTCCAGTCTCCACGATGCTTGCTGGAGAAAACGCCACACCTCCGCTTACGCTTTTTAGTCTCTTCACAATTTTACGAACAGAGGAACGAGGAATTAACACAGCAACAACCCTTTTCTGTGATTCCTCTGTCAAAATGCCAAGTTTTTGGGCCGCGAAATATAAAACCAAAGGTTAGAAAGGTTAATTTTTATGGGAAAATTATTATCATTAGCATTTTAGGTTTAATTAATCTATGGACAGTGGAAACTATGAATGAAAAGTTGAAAGGTTGATTATATTTTGGCCAAAAAAAAAAAGTTCATTATAATAAGAGTTTGCACAGTTTTTTATATCAGTTTCTAGTTTCTACATCCATTCTATAATTCATTTTTATGTAAGTCATTCCCTCATAAATCCCACCCTTTGTGATTTTGTTGTTTAACAATTTTATGAAAAGTAAAAAAAACATTTAATATTTACTTATAATCATAAATATTATTATTTAGTGATTAGTGATTTTCAAATTTATTATAAATATTATTTAGTGATTTTAAATTTTATAGTATTCTTTTTTTTTGCCTGGAATTTTATATTTTATATTTTATATTTTATAATATTCTAATCAATATATCCTCTAATTTTTATCAACATTTTCCGTTATATAAGGAAACCATTAACATTTATATTTATTTTTGAAAATTTAAACAAGCATCTTAATACATCTCAAACATACTGTCATTTTTATCAAGGGTAAACTATATTTATAGCAGTTAGCCCATTTATTATAAACTATTTATTATTTTATTTAATTATTATAAATGTTTTAAAATTGTCATTTTTTTTCTATTTCTGTTATCTAGTTATTATTTTTTTCTCTAATCTTTGAGCCATATCTGCTATCAATATAGCTATTATTTAATTATTATATTTTTTCTATTTCTCTTATCTAGTTATTATTTTTTTCTCTAATCTTTGAGCCATATCTGCTGTCAAGTGAAATACCTTTTGGAATTATACTGAAATCAATATTAAACTATATTTGATTGGAATTCAAACTAAAGTAATTAATTATTCGCATATGAATAAAGTAACCAACTTTTACTTAAGATCGTCTATTAAATTTTAAACTACTGAAGAAGAAAAAGAAACGTAGTGTGAGAGATAAATCTCTATATATCAGGTAATTAGGTTTAGGTCCAATATTTATGTGATAGTTATCAAAAAGGGGTAAATGGTAAGATGAATTTTAAATTATAGGTTTGAAGGTAATTTTAAATTCTAAACTCAGTATATTTTAAACCCCAATCAATTAAAATTAGGATAATCTAACCCCTATAATTAATTTTAACCTAATGTCTGTTATATGGGGCTTAGACTTTCTCTCTCTCTCTCTCTATGTGTGTGTGTGTGTTTCATCTTCTTTCGCTTCTCAGACCATTTAGATTTTGATTTGAAAATTGAAAGCATTATTATATATTTTTAGTTTACATATATTAAAATAAAAATTTATAAAATAATTTTTTATTTTCAATTTGGTTTATATTTAATTTAAATGGTTCAATTTAATTTTAAAATTTTTATAATATCTATATATTAAGTGTCTTGATGTATTATACACGATCCACATTTAATCTGTATAGACTATATAGAATATATCTAAAATATCAATATATAATAATTATAAAAATTTTAATATTAAATTAAATCTAGACCAGATTAAAAAATAAAAAATTATTAAAATTATTTTATAAATTTTATAAATTTTTATTTTAATAAATATAAAATAAAATAATATTTTAAATCTATATCTGGATGGTCCAATCCCTCCTCGTCCCTTTCTTTCAGATCCAACATGGCTCCTTCTACTTCTGCCACTTCCTCTTCTCTCTCTCCTTCTCTGCTCGTCCAACATCGACTCTCAAGAGTGAGGAAAATAATTCTCAATACCACCATTACTACATCTGACGAGCTTACTTCCTTTTTGAAAGCTATCAGAGACCAGAAAGAGAAACTTTAGAAGGATTGAGAAATATCATATCTATTATTGATATGGAAGTTACATTATATACACAAAGAAAATAGATAATGCAATAATAACTAATAATTATAATATCAAATAATATCTCCTAATAATAATTGATATATATATACAATGATAATAGAAGATATTTGCAAAATATTTTAGATAACATCCCCCCTCAAATTCAAGATGGCTTAACAAAAAATTACTTGAGTTTGTCTACCAAAAACTGAAAGTGACTTAGATGAAAAGACTTTGTAAACAAGTCTGCCGGCTAATACTTGGTTCGAATTGGAACAAGTCAGATGGTGCCCCAAACAACATGTTGTCAAGTAAAGTGACAGTCAATCTTAATGTGTTTGTTCCGCTCATGAAACACATCATTGTGAACAATCTTGATTGTAGCTTGACTATCACAATAAATGTCTATAAAGGAGCTCTGAGATGATCCCAACTCATCAAGTAACAAACAAAGCCAAAGTACCTTAGCAGTAGTATCTACTAGTGCATGATATTCCAATTCAACACTAGAGTGAGAGGTTAATGTTTGCTTCTTACTTCTCCAAAAGATAAGGGAATGATCGAGGAAGATACAGAAACTTGTCATAGACTATTGATCATCATGATCACCACTCCAATCGGCATCAAAGTAAGCTCGCAGTGCAAGATAAGAGCTAATAGAGAAGTGAAGCTCATGATACAGAGTGCCTTTGATATACTGAATGATCCAAAGAGCTACTACATAATGAGTTGTGTGAGACTCAAATATAAACTGGCTGACAACATGAACTACATAAGCAATATTAGGATAGGTGACAGTAAGATAGATGAGGCCCCCAACCAACTGGCGATAATGAGTGGGATTATCCAACAAGATACCATCAGTAGAAGTATAGTAAACATTTGGTCCAATAGGAGTGGTTTCAACCTCCTTATTAGAAAGGTGAGCTCGGGATATCAAATTAGTGGCATACTTGACTTGAGAAAGAGATATACCATCACTCCCATAGTAGACCTCAAGCCTAAAAAGAAAGTTTAATCTGCCAAGATCCTTCATTTTAAATTGTTGGCCTAAATATATCTTGAGCTCCTAAACTCTTGTATTATCACTACCTGTGATAATCATATCATCAACATACAACAACATAACAATACCATAAGCAGTGGAGTGAACAAAAAGAGTTGAGTCATTAGGACTACAAGAAAAATCCAATTGATTCATAGTGTTATTAAACTTAGCAAACCATGCACGTAGAGCCCACTTGAGTTTATATAAAGCTTGACGAAGATGACAGACTTTGTCTTTTAGATGTTAATACCTAGATGGAGGCTTCATATACACTTCTTCTTCTAGATCTCCATTTAGAAATGCATTTTTAACATCCATCTGGTAAAGAGGCCAATACTTAACAGCAGTAATGGCTAGAAGGCTATGATCAGAAGTCATACAAGCAATAGGTGCAAAAGTTTCCTCATAGTCAACACCATACTCTTGAGTGAATCCTTGGGCTACCAAGCGGGCCTTACATTACTTTAAAGAGCCATCAGAATGAGTCTTGTTCTTATAGACCCATTGGCACACCCAACCAAAATTTTACTAGGAGGAAGATCAATAAAATCTCAAGTATGCATTTCTTCTAGGGCTCACAATTCATCATCTATAGCTTGCTGCCAAAAGGGATCACAAGAGGCTTCCTTAAAGGATTTGGGTTCTTGAAACTGGAGAATGGTAGAAAAATAATAGTAATCATTGAGGGAAGAGGGAGGATTTTTTACACGATTAGGCCGAGAGTCTATGGACGATATGGGCTCAATAGGCATGACTTGTGCTAGAGGAGTAATAGATATGACAATAGGCACATCTGGAGTGGGCACAGCATTAGTCGTGGAAACGAGCTCAATAGAAGAATCGATACTCGAGTCACTGGGAAAAAGATCAATAGAAATATTTATAAAAATAGGAGGTGAAGAAGATGAGAATAATAAGAGATCAGTTTGAGACAAAAAATTGATATTTTCTTAAAAGACAACATGATGAGAAATACGAATGTAGTGAGAAAGAGGATCCTAACAATGATAACCCTTATGCTCAGAATTATAACCAAGAAAACAACAAACATGAGAACGAGCTTAAAGTTTATTTGTCTCATGAGACGGAAGCAGGAGGATAACTATGGAGATACTCAAAAGGAAAAATGTTATTGGTGATAGGAGACAAGAATCAATTGATGCAAAACACAGAGGTTAAGGCTGCTTTACCCTAAAATTGTTCAGGACAAGAAGAGGAAATAAGCAATACTCTAACCGAATCAAGAATATGACGGTGTTTACGCTTAGCACGACCATTCTGTTAAGAGGTATAAGGATAAGAATATTAAGAAATAGTACCCTAAGAATCAAGAAAGGTGAGTAATTTAGAGTCACGATATTTCAAAGCATTATCATGACAAAATTTTTTGATGACTTTAGCATACTAAGTGTAAACCATAGTAGCAAATTTGATATAAAGTTTAGGTAACTCATATAAATCCAAGTAAAATGAAAAAAATCATCAATCAAAATCATAAAATATTGGGATCCTCCCATAGAGGGAGTAGGTGCAGTGCCCTAAACATCAAAATGATTTAAATCAAATGGATAAGCAGCAATAGAATCATTTTTGTGAAAAGACAAAGCAGGTTGTTTGGTAGTTTGATAAGAAACGCATTGCAAAAAATGGCTATAAACATGACTTAAAATACCACTACAAATTAAAGGACGCAATTTACTCAAAGAAGGGTAAGTAAGACGATGATGCCATAGGTCAAAAGAAGAATCAAGAGAAGAGGATGTGGAGGTAGCACACAATGTGGAAACAATGATATCAGGTAGGTGTATTGAGGTGAGCTTGAACATGTGACCAACTTTGTGCCCAATCCCGACAACCTGTCCTGTCTGAGAATCTATCACAATACAACCACGTTTATTAAATAACACATCATATTTATCAACAAGTTGTCCTATAGAAAGAAGGCTAAAGTTAATGGTAGGAACAAATTAGGGAAGACAAGGAGATAGTACCAATATGACTAACAAATATTTGAGAATTATCAGCAGTGTGTATAAGATAGGTAGTAAAGTTAGATGTC